TTTTCAAACAACGTAGCATACGTTGTCAATAGCGAATTTCTCACTTCAATAATTATGCAAATTGCGAATTACTTTACACATATAATAATAAAAAGTTATAAATAGATACGGAAACAGCACAAATCTGGATTTACTTGAAGCAACAAGGAACATTAAAACTCAGATTTGAGTAAGTAAAAGTTCGCACAACATGAATACCTGTATCCGTAATAATCAGTTGTATAATACTTACATATTTATGACAGTTCACCGTCATCTTGTGAGAAATACAGCTAACTGTAGTAACAAGGGCCTTATTAAGGTTTCTACGCATGTTTATGGAGTGCTGATGAGATCTAATAATCATCATCATAAGGTCGTCAGTCCTGAAACCGGATGGACACGCACCTCCACTCTTTCTTATCCTGAGCTAATCTTCGCATTTTACTAAAACTAGAGCAACCCATATCCTTAACTATTTGCGAACAGTAATCTAATCTAGGTTTACCTCTACCCTCCCCTAACATCCGTTTCTGCCTCTAATATGTCTCTGACTAGACCTTCATGCCTAAGAAGGTGTCCTACCAACCTATCTCGCCTATTTCTTATAGACTGCCATAGAATCCTCTGTTCTCCTATTCTTTCTAATACCTCTTCATTTCTAACCTTCTCTATCCACGGTATCCTCATCATTTGCCTGTAACACTACATTTCGAACGCTTCTAACCTTCTCTTTTCCGCCGCACCTACTGTCCATGTTTCGTACCCGTACAGCGCCGCTCTCCAAATATACACCCTTAACAATCTTTTTCGAATTTCTAAATGAATCGTTCGCGAACATAGAAATGACTTCTTTTTATTGAAGGCGACAACCCTACGGTATCCTCTGCTTTATATCCCTACTACTCCTTCCGTCCTGACTTATCTGACTTCCTAGATACCTAAAATCGGCCACTTCTTCTAATTTTTCGTCTCCTATCTTTATATTTACTTTTCTCTACTTTTCCTTCCCTTGCATTCATTTTTTTTTTGTTTAACTTGTCATATTTATTGAACAGACTGTTTAGTCAGGAATACTAGTTAGTGTCATTATTATCATAAGGTCGTCAGTCCTGAGACTGGTTGGACACGCACCTCCACTCTTTCTTATCCTGAGCTAATCTTCGCATTTCCCTAAAACTAGAAAATCCCACATCTTTAACTATTTGCAAAGAGTAATCTAATGTAGGTCTACCTCTACTCCTGCTAACTCCTGTTTCTGCTTCTAATATGTCTTTGACTAGACCTTAATGCTCGAGAAGATGTCCTATCTCGCCTATTTGTTATTGAGTCCTCTGTTCTCCTATTTATTCTAAAACCTCTTCACTTCTAACTCTCTCTATCATTCGCCTGTAACAGCACATTTCGTTTCTAACCTTTTCTTTTCCGCCGTTCCCACTGGTTATGTTTCGCACCCTTACAGTGCCGCGCTCCAAGGATACACTTCTAACAATCTTTTTCGAATTTCTAAATTAA